GTGGTTCCGGGCTGCACAGGGCGCCTCTCCGGGCAGCACGCGGGGCGCACCTATGGCATCATCACATAGCTCCCGGACCGCGCTGGTCCCAGCCGGAGGGCGCTGCTGTGGCGTCATCACGGAGTGCCCAGGCCCCGAGCAGGGCTGCCCGCCAGCTGCCTGAACAGGGGAATCCGAAGAGCGAAAGTAATAGCGGAGCCTGAGGAAAGCAGAGCACTCCGCGCCTGCCACCCCTGCACGCTGCTGGCCCGGCGCACTTCTAGGGCACGAACCCTGACGCAGGCAGCGCGGCCAACCCGCAGCGTCGCAGGACCCGGCAGACAGGGAAGGGGGAACAGGCGGACGGCGCATGCGTGCTGGTCGCAGCTGCCGCCCCCTGCTGGCACTGCCCCGCACTGCCAGAGTGTCTGACTGCCGGTCCGACTAGCACCGCCGCGCTGGTTGGCTGGTTCCTCCGAACTCGGCCCCAGGCTTTTCCCCAGCCCGCCCCGAGCTCCTGCGCCAGCAGGGGTAGGGCGTCTCGCTGCGAGCCGGCTCCGCGCTTGCCCTCGACTCCCAGCTCCCTCCCCAGCAAGGGCAGTGCGGGAGGTCAAACTGATTACGTAGAAAACACCCTTTATTTGCAAACCCGGTAAAAAAAAAAGTTATAAATGTCTGCCCAGTCAGCGCCATAGCAGGTGCTCTGGCCAAGCCCCCAGCGAGGCTGTTTCCTACTCGAAGAGCACCTACTGCTTTCCTACAGTGCGGCTTTCACAGCCCCTGGACTCTACAGCTTTCTCTGATGCTGTTGTCTTGCCCTTTAGTACTCCCATTCATCATAGTGTAAGGGAAAGTAAGCATTCAGGACTCCCATTTTTCATTTATTGCTAAGTCTGCAAAAGTGACAGCTACCATCATTAAAAACAAAAAAACAATCCCTAGTTTAGAGAACAACAACATTGAGTAAAAGACATGGGGGTGGGGTGGAGGGGGGAAGAATAGCTTTAGTCTAAGAAGTCAGAGGGAGGCCACCAGGCAAAACCTAAGAAACATATAAACTGAGCCCCCAAAATGATTCAGGGAAGAATTTGCACATTAAAAAGAAATTTACAAGACTGATGGTTCCTAGTGATAGACAGCCACATTAAAGTACAAACAGGATTGTTTTTCATTAATCCTAAACCTAATACCAAAAAAAACCTAAAAAAAAAAAGGGGGGGGGGTAAGAAAATTAGCCATTTAGTAACTATTGGTTTCCCATAAACTATACAGTACCATTACAATTTTGTCAAACAGCATCCACAATTCTAAAACAGCCAAGATATTCTGCAATTTAATACTTCAGATTGTTAACATTGTAGCCAGTTTGAAATGGTCTAAGGAGCTTCATTCACAATTCTAACAGGCCTATCTGAGCCTCCATTTCAAGAAAGCAACACAGTTGTTAAATGGAACAAAACTACCTTGATTAAGATGTCACCATTTCTTTATTGAAGTGTTTATGGTTGTCCAGGCTTTGAATTCAGATTTGGTTCAGTTTTAGATCTTTGATATTTGTGCAGTAATTGTTTTGTGCATGTATAACAGAGAACAAAATGTTTTATGCATGTGCAATTGTAAAATAGAACTAAATTGTTGTTAGAAGAAAAGGCCACACCAGACTCAAAAACCTTACGTCACAATTAGTTGTGAACCAGCTCAGTAATGGAAGTGTAACAGGCTTGTACACCCTGCTTTAAAAAAGTGCAAACAACCCCAGGCTGAGAAACTATTCTCAATCTCTAGATTTGTCATGCAGCCTGACTCTTCAAAAGGTCTTCAATTCAGATGGGACTGCCAGAAAACACTAAAAAAATAAAATTAAGACCACTAACTTAGTTCCCAAGGGTTATCAGAGGAAGTAGATTCTTACTGATGTAGAATAATTTACGGCTAGCAGCATACCATTACCGTACTTAAAAAGTGCCATATACAGTACCATGAAGTCTTCCTGAACAAAACCCCCGTTTTTCCATTCATAAAACTATATTCAAACCCACTTTAAGTAGTAGACTTCAGTAGATACGCTATACATCTCCATTAACAAAGACAATCCAACATGTTTTAGTGAGAATACAGCTATTTTAATAATTCAAATAGCGGCTCAGTATGTGTCTCAGTTATTATACACAGTTGCACAATCTGAGGCTGGTTAAATACAATCAGTTTTCAAAATCTCTTGGAATATTTTCCAGATTACAACATGCAAGTGACCATGAAAATATTTGGCTTTTTCATTTCTAAACAGGCACTTACATGAGGGAGTTAAATTTGCTCTCATTCAAAAGAAATCCACGTTTAAGAGAAATACCCTTGCACAAAGTAGAGAGAATCTTTTGTCTGCTTTATCAAAGTGCCAAGTAGGAAAACAGTTCTTACAGAAATGTAATTCAATTACTTTGCTTACTCATAAAATAAGGTTACCAATGACACTTGCACTGAAGTTTAGAAAGAGTCTTGGTTTATAGGCTAAGTGAACTACAAGCGCAGTCTTCCACAGAGCAGGCTTCATTTTGTGCCCTAGTCACATGTCTGATAACAGACTACATGCTCAATTGTGAACAGATTGAGGCTATTTTGTTCAAGCAGTTTGTTCAGACTCAAATGCACCAAAAAAAAAAGATTCAGAGTGATCTGTTTTGCTAGACAAGTTAACTTTTTGGAGCTCAACTAAAAACAAAAAGAAACCAAAAACAAGTTTTCCATGAAAACAGCTCATCCCCCCCACCCATAATAGACCTAAAAGGACTAAAATGAAAATGTTATTTGAAAGCCTGTTATTTTTCCTCCTCCCTCAGAACAGCAAGGGAGTAGACAGTGAAAGTGAGGCTTGATGTACACATCCAAGAACCGGGTAAGCTCTGTACGTAACTTTTTATAGCTTTGAGACCACTACACTGAGCATGCTGACACCAAGAAAAAAAATGGGGCTAAGCAGCACTGCCATGAAAACATGCCCTGCCACTTGCTGCTGTTCCAGATGTACCAAATACCAAAATATATCAGAAAGCCATTTTTTGGTGCATACCCACCACTGCCATCAGGCTCTCAATTTCAGGCATGCACACAACAGTGGTTCTGGGTGTACCTAGCACTACTCATGTACCTACTGTAAGATGTCTTTCAACTTGGAACAGGAGGGAGTAGACAGGTTGTGTTTGTTTTCAGAGCTAGAAAGTTTTCCATTATGTGGAAGCACCCACTCTTTTTCAGTTTCAATGATTAAAGTGACAGGGATGTTTAAAACACTTCCATCCATCTATCATCTCTGAGTGAAAGAGCAACAGGGAGACAAAGAACAACCCTGTCATTAACTAATTAGCATTGACCACTGAATCTGTGAGCAGACAGTTGCTAGCATGGCAATTTTAAGAAAAATGTGCTAGAATGAAATCAAACACCTGAAAAGCTCCTCTTGGGGACAGTGTATATTAATATTCCTGTTAAAGATATGAGATTCAAAGCCTCCAAGAACTGTGGCATGATCTCAGAAGCCTCCACAGATTATGTTTGCAGTATGTATATGATCTAGACCACTTTAAATATTTTTTGAACAAAAAAGGTCCATCATAAACCCTGACTTTAGTGTAACTGAAACAAGTGTACTTATCTGTTAGTTTTGAGACAGAG